TTGCGGAGCACAGGCTCCGGACGTGCAGGCTCAGCGGCCGTGGCTCACAGGCCCAGCCGCTCCACAGCATGTGGGATCTTCCCGGACCGGGGCACGAACCTGTGTCTCCTGCCTCAGCAGGCGGACTCTCAACCACTGCGCCACCAGGGAAGCCCATGGTCAATTGATTTTTGATAAGAGCGCCAAGATCATTCAATGGGGAAAGAATAGTCTTTTCAACAAATGGTGCTGGGACAACTAGATATTCACATGCAAAGGATAAATTTGTATCCCTACCTCATACCATATATGAAAATTAACTCAAAATTGATCAAGAACTAAATGTAAGACCTAAAAATACAAAATTCTTAGAAGAAAACATAAGCACAAATAATCTTGACTTTGGCCCAAAAGCACAAGCAACCAAAGAAAAAATAAATTGGACTTCACCAAAATTAAAACCTTTGTGCTTCAAAGAACGTCATCAAGAAAATGAGAAGAAGGCTTCCCTGGTGGCGCGGTGGTTGGGAGTCCGCCTGCCGATGCAGGGGACGCGGGTTCGTGCCCCGGTCTGGGAGGATCCCACGTGCCATGGAGCGGCTGGGCCCGTGAGCCATGGCCACTGGGCCTGCGTGTCCGGAGCCTGTGCTCTGCAACGGGAGAGGCCACAACAGTGAGAGGCCCGTGTACCTCAAAAAAAGAAAATGAGAAGACAACCCACTGAATGGGAGAAAATATTTGCAAATCATACATTTGATAAGGAACTTGTAACTAGAATATTAAAAAAACTCTTACAAAAAAATATAAAAGTAAATAACTCAATTAAAAAATTAGCAAATGGGACTTCCCTGGTGGTGCAGTGGTTAAGAATCTGCCTGCCAATGCAGGGGACATGGGTTCGAGCCCTGGCCCGGGAAGATCCCACATGCCGCGGAGCAACTAAGCTCGTGTGCCACAAGTACTGAGCCTGTGTGCTGCAACTACTGAAGCCCACACGCCTAGAGCCCATGCTCCGCCACAAGAGAAGCCACCGCAATGAGAAGCCCCCACACCACAACAAAGAGTAGCCCCTGCTCGCCACAACTAGAGAAATCCCGTGCGCAGCAATGAAGACCCAACGCAGCCAAAAAAAGACACAGCAAATGATCTGAATGGTATTTCCCCAAAGAAGATCTACAAATGTCTAATGAACACATGAAAAGATCCTCAACATCATTAGTCATTAGGGACATTCAAATAAAAACCCTAATGAGATACCACTCCATACCCACTAGGATGGGTATAATCAAAAGGACAGACAATAACAAGTGTTGCTGAGGATGTGGAGAAATAAGAACCCTCATACTTTCCTGGCGGGAATATAAAATGGTGCAGCGACTTGGGAAGACAGTTTAGAAGTTTCTCAAAATGTTAAACATTGGGCTACCATATGACCCAGCAATTCTACTCATAAGTCTATAGCCAAGAGAACTGAAAACATGTTTTATATAATAACTTTTACGTGAATGTTCATAGTAGCATTGCTCACTATAGCGAAAAAATAGAAACAATCCAAATGCCCATCAACTGATGACTGGATGAATACAATGTAACATATTCATACAAAGGAATATTATTCAGCATTAAAAAGGAATGAAGTTCTGATTCATGATACAACATGGATGACCTTTGAAATACGACACTGAATAAAAGAAGTCAGACACGAAAGACTCCATATTGTCTGATTACATTTATATGAAATGTCCAGAACAGCCCAAATATATAGAGACAAAAGGAGATCTGTGATTACCTAGGGCTGTGGAGGTATAGGGTAGGGGAGTAACTGCTAATGGTTTGGGGGGCGGGGGATGAAAATGTTCTAAAACTGACTGTGGTGATGGTTGTACGGCTCTATGAATATACCAAAAATTCACTGAAGTTTACACTTTAAACTGGTGAATTGTGTAGTATGTGAATAATAAAGCTGCTATAATTAAAAAGTGATCCAGGAAAACAGTTTGGCATTTCCTCAAAAAGTTAACCACAAAACTACCATATGACCCTGAAATTCCTACTACTAGGTATATACCCAAAAGAATTGAAAACAGGGACTCAAATAAGTACACGTACACTCATGTGCATAGCAACACTATTCACAATAGCCAAAAAGGTGGAAAAAACCCAGATGTCCATCAAATGAATGGACTAAAAAATGAGATATATTCATACGATGAAATATTATCCGGCCTTAAAAATGAATGAAGTACTGATACATGCTACAACACGGATGAACCTCAAAAACATTATGCTAAGTAAAAGAAGCCAGACAAAAGGGTTACATCGAGTATGATTCTATTTACATGACATGTCCAGAACAGGTAAATTCATAGAAAAAGAATACAGATGGGTGGTTGCCAGGTGCTGGGGGAAGAGGAAATAGGGGGAAACTGCTTAATAAATAAGGGACTTTACTTTGGAGTGATGGAAATGTTCAAGAACTAGATAGAAGTGGTGGTTACACAACTTTGGGTAAATGGCACTTAACTGTTCCTTTTAAGATGGTTAATTTTGGGCTTCCCTGGTGGTGCAGTGGTTAAGAATCCGTTTGCCAATGCAGGACACAAGGGTTCAAGCCCTGGTCTGGGAAGATCCCACATGCCTTGGAGCAACTAAGCCCATGTGCCACAACTACTGAACTGAGCTCTAGAGCCCACGCACCACAACTACTGAATTCCCTGGTGGTGCAGTGGTTAAGAATCCGTTTGCCAATGCAGGACACAAGGGTTCAAGCCCTGGTCTGGGAAGATCCCACATGCCTTGGAGCAACTAAGCCCATGTGCCACAACTACTGAGCCTGCGCTCTAGAGCCCGTGAGCCACAACTACTGAACCCACGTGTCACAACTACTGAAGCTCACGTGCCTAGAGCACATGCCCTGCAACAAGAGAAGCCACTGCAATAAGACAGTGCACCGCAACGAAGAGTAGCTCCCGCACGCCGCAACTAAAGAAAGACCGCGCAGCTACGAAGACCCAGCACAGCCAAAAATAAATAAATAAAATAAATAAATTTATTTTTAAAAAGATGGTTAATTTTGTGTTACATGAATTTCACCTCAATAAATTATTTAAAAGAAACAGCAATCCAAAAATTGAAGTTAATGTTCCCATTTGCATGCAACATTTTAAAAGCTGAAAAGTATTTCAAAAAGAGAGAATTTACGCTTACGTTTTTAAGTTTTTTGGTTTTTTTTTTTTGCAGTACGCGGGCCTCTCACTGTTGTGGCCTCTCCCGGTGCGGAGCACAGGCTCTGGACGCGCAGGCTCAACGGCCACGGCTCACGGGCCCAGCCGCTCCACGGCATGTGGGATCTTCCCGGACCAGGGCACGAACCCGTGTCCCCTGCATCGGCAGGCGGACTCTCAACCACTGCGCCACCAGGGAAGCCCTACCTTTTTTTTAACCTAAGAAATTTGGCTAAATTTTTAAAACTCTGGGAATCTTAGATATAAAAAGAGAATAACTCTCTTTACTCTCATAATAAATTACTACCATGGAATTAGTTCAGTTGGAGCTTTTGAAAGATTTATTTCATGACATGCTTACAGATCTGAAAGAGTTAGTGCATCTCCTGTTGCCCCACTGTCAGAGATTAACTTGCTAACTCACTGGCACAAGTCAGCTGGGAGGGAGACTAACATGTGATTCCCAAAGGAAAACATTCCACACTAATTAGAATAGAATACTCTGTATCCTAAACTCTGCATCTTAAGCCTGAGTAAACTGCTAAAACCAAGATGTGGAACAGAAATTGGGAAAATTATCTATAACCTAGATAACAAAGGAATGGAGTTTAAGAGCAAGTTATTCACACAAGCACCCCAGCTTGTTTGTTTCTGGTTTAATTTGCATGTGGAGACTATGTCCGTTAAACACTCAAGTGAGTTTCAAATAGATTCTGGTACCTATGAGAAAGAATGTCAGTACAAAATAAACAAAGAAAATACTGAAGCCTCTAATTACATGGGGGTTGTGGGGGGCACATCATCTATTTAGAAACAACACACTTTTCAGGAAGCAGATAATCTAGCATTTCTCAAATTCTACGTAGAATATTCTAAAAACATGAAGCAAATCTCATGAAGTTCTGTATTGAATAGCTATAAAAAATCTGATCATTGAGTTATAAAATCTGATAAAAATTCAATGATGCTACCAAATGTCACATAGGTATGGATAGAGCTATCTATAAACGTACTGAATAAACAGATATAAATTTACAGAGAGGCTTTCTTGTTCCCTGCCACTAAGTTTTAAATTGAGATTTTATATTGGTACATTTTCAACTGAAATCAAATCAAACATAAAATATCTCTCAGATAATACTTTATGGCACATCATAAATTCAAAGCTACATCTTCCTAAAGGTAGTTTCCAATGTTATCCCAATTTAACCTTCAGTTCAAGTGATGATGCCTCGTGTAAAATCACTCTGGGCAGCTTGAGAACTGTGTGTGTAAATGAGAAAGGGGCAGAGGGTGAACCCAGCTCACTCTCCCCTTTTGATCCAGGAAGACAGGCACACTCCTAGCACTCACCTTTCTCACATTTCTTGTCTTTCATTGAAGACGAAGTGCCACAGCCCATGTCTTGTAAATCATGAATCAACTTCTCACTCTAAAACAGGGTGAAAAGTGCTTCCCTTTACTCTGCGAGGAGCCCCTCCTGACTGATCCACTTCGGTCACAGATCCTGATGAGGAGGACACATGAGGGAGGGAGGAAAGCGGCCGTTAACAAGGTATCTAAGGGCTGCTCAGCAGGATTCATTTTACGCTTCTTCTCAACTGCTATTCATCATATGATATGGAAAGTGATCAGACATAGTCTAATCCTGGTTTATTTTCCAAAACACAGAAGCAGCAACAGAGCAGCTATACATTGCTTTTCTGCAACACATAAATTACATTTTCCCTGTGTCTAAGTCAGATCAATACTTTATAAAATAAAGCATTAAAATGAAAAGAAAAATGGAAATGTAAGATCATACAATTTTCTAATTGAAATATAGGGAATGGGATATGAAGGATCTGACATAATTTAACTGTTTTGCTTTTAAGCTCAAAATAGTTAAATCTATCTGGGCTTTTAAAAACACAAATTGGAGAATGGCTATGAGACAACAACAACATATTTATACAACTATGCCAAAATTCAAATCAAAATGAGTTCTTTGACACTATTTCTCAGAATCAGTCAGGGCACTTATTTAAAAAAAAAAAAAAAAAAAGGAGGCTTCAAGGCCTCCCCAGAAACTAAAGCATCAGAATCCAGGAAGTTCCCTTTTCAAACAAGCTCTCCAGGCATTTCTGAGGCCCCTCCAAAGTCTGCCCTTGCACTCACCAGGCCTTCCGATGGCTCAGCTGAGACTGTTACATTGGATCTTCCACAGTCACTCCATGGCAGTTTTCAACAAAATTCCTTTCTGTAGTAATCCCACCTCATGCCTTTTTAGGGTGATGTTTCCTTTATTTTGTGATGCTCCAAACCAGCCTGTGCTAATCTATTTGCATTTCTTGATAGTAACAAAGTCAAAGAACAACTGACTTGGGACTCTGCCAGGCATGCCTATTTTTCCGTTAGTACTACACTAAACGCTGCAAGATTGCAACTCAATGAAAGAAAGGGGCAAAACAAAATGAGCAAAATATCTGAATTATGGAAATATTTTTAAAACAACAATAACCTTAATAAACAGATATTCTGATCAGAGCTAGGCTTGATTCTATTATGTATTGAATTAATTAACCCTCCTAAACTTTGGGTTATTTCCAAATTTGAGAGGCATTTCTTACATATCTCTCTTATCTACAGCAGGGGTAAAAAATGTTAACAGGGTCAGCTCCAACGGCAGAAAACCCTTGTGGCATTCCACTCCAGACCAATCTCTAGGGTTACTACAGACGCATTACATTCACACTCTCCTACTCCTTCAGTTAGGTGGTAAATTTACCCACCGTAAGCATCCGCTTACTTATCTATGAGACGTCCTGGTAAATTTCGCTAACTATTTTAATGAAATTAATATATATAATTTGACACCTTGACATTCCAGGCTAGCCAGCAGCAGAAGAAGAAAAAGAGGAGGAGCAGGAGGAAGAAAGGAAGGAAGGAAGGAAATCAGTTTGCCATTACTTTTAATAACAGAATTACAGACGTTTAAAGGTGGTAGACTTTTAGAATTACCCAGAATTTACACAAAGTGCAAGAAAACTAAGCCCCTTGTCCAAAGTCATATAGACAAACTGGCTGTCAAACTCTGTTGCATATTAGTATCACCTGGGGAGCTTTTAAAACTCCCAATGCTCAGACGGCACCTCACCAAATTAGTCTCTGGGGATTTAAAACATGGTGATGCCTGGGTCCCATCCCCAGAGATTCTGATGTAATTGGTATTGAGTGGGGTTTGGGCATCAGGGGCGTTAAAAGCTCCCCAGGTGGTTTTAATGTGCAGCAAAGTTTGACATTCTCTACTGCAGACAATGTTCTAGGGAACCCATGGCGATGCCTAGTGATCATCACATTTTCCTCTAAATGCTTTGACTCCATCTGTTTGGAACAGAATTTTTCCAGAGGTCATGTCAGGCTTATAAGGCAGTGGCTTCTGGGATCTACTCTTTGCTTGTTTTTGAAATTGGGGCACTATTTACTCATCACCTCTGCTCTCTCCATTCTCAGACATTTCTCAAAGGTTATCCACAGTGCCTATGAGAACAGGTCTGCTGGGTTCCTCCTCACCCTTTGAAGTAGTTCATTTGGTCCTGGTGAGTCTCTCCTAGTGCCTAGATCCGTGCTCTCCTATATGAGTACCACAAAACTTAACCAGGGGAGACAATTTTAAAATGCAGACTCCCGGGCTTTACTGCCAATACTTGGATTCAAGCAGTCCAAGGGGGCCTGGGAATGTGCAATTAAAAGTGCACCCTTCGTGGGACTTCGACACAAGCACTCCCCACATCTCAGTTTGAGAAAAACTGCTCTCCATATCTCCCTTGGGCTTTGCTTCCATCTTTATGCTATTTTTTTCTACCCCTTTTTATGAATACATAAGAGTTAGGCATTGAGTAGGCAACACTGATGCTACGATAGGAAGTGATATATTTCAAACTCAGGTTTTTTTTCCAGAAAAAAAAAGCAATCTCTCTCCAAAGGCATTTGGTTCTCAGCCACTCCTCAGTCAATTCATTACACAACAAACAAAAGTCCATATAAAAGATTCACTAGGAACTAAGAAGCATCAAACTTGAATATATTTCTGCTAGACTGTAAGCTTCATGGGTACCTTTGTTTCTAAATACTCTGAATCTCTGGCACCTACACAGTGCATTTCACATAGCAGGTGCTTGATAAATGCCAAATGAATGAATGAATGAATGAATAAGGGAATGCATATTTCTAGGCCAGGGTCCTTTAAAAAATTAATGCTAATAGTAATTATTAGTCCATCATTTCGTGCACAGATACATGCTATTTGATTACACAAAAGCCTTTTATTAAACCAGAAAATGGGTAGTACTTATATATTCATTTTTAAAGAAAAACTTTAAATCATGATAGAAAGAAATGAGCATTGTTCTAGAATTCTCGGGTTATTAGAAAAAAATAATTTGCTATTAGAATTTTTACATTACTAAATAATAATAATTTAATTTCCTTAGGTAACAGGTAAAACAAAACAAAAGAGTCAGCTCATTTTAATTCTCACCAAAACAAGAGCTGGTTAAGGCCAGGTGCCACTTACTACTCCCATACACTACCCAACATAGACTGCAATCACCCACTTAAAGGCTGAGAGGGACGCACGTTTGTAAGCAGTGTATGTCCCTTTGAGGACAACCCTGGGTGGTGTAAAGCTGATAAAAATGATTTGGGAATTTTCCATTATTTGGGACAATCTAAGCTTCTTCCACTCCCTGCCCTCTGTCAGCATCAGATAAACAGTGTGCTAAAGAGGTCTCTGAAGAAATGATTTCCCTAGGGCCTGAAAGGAGTTCTCCAGCTCAAGAGGTGGGTAGTCTCTGCAGCATTCACAAAGACCCAAGGATGCCGTAGTCAGTGACATAAACCACTTAAAAGGTGGATCTTGGCAAATAACAGCTTGAAACTTGCTCAGTGCTGCTGCCCCTACCAATATATACCGAGGGTGGTTTTAAAGCATAAACGTAAAACAGTGACTCATCCTTGGCACACTTATAATCTGCAAAAGGAAAGTCTTCCAAGGCTTCTGCTAAAAGGTTTTCACTGTGCGTGGCGGCGGGG